CACAAGAAGACGGCGCAGGCCTGTAAGTCAATCCGGACGGCGTTAATTTTTTTAAAAAATTCTAATGCGCTGCTTCGGGTGTAAGTCGAGGACAACCTGTAAAATCAGGCGTTTTGATGATGTTGGCTACGCTCTCCTGGGAAACTCAGTTCTGGAACTTTCTTCTCCTGTTGCTCTCTCTCTTTTTTCCCCCCTGAGCCTCTCTGGACAAGAGCAGTCTACCTGAGCACAGAACGGTGATTGGCGGGAGCCTGGAAAGCTCAGCGATTATTCCTGGGGTGGAGGGCGGCTTGGAAAAAGATTAGAAATCAGGCCGAATGTTTTCCTAAGCAGAACCTTTTCTCTTTAAGGCCGCCAAGACGAGGACGCCGAGTGCAAATTCTGCCTTTCTGGCTTCTGCGAGGATAAAAAGACCTGCGTGCGTTGTGCAATGGAAGCCACTGCCTCGGCCAATTTGGGGTGCGGTAGAGCGGGGGAGGAAGTGGGGTGCCCCAAGCTCAGAATAATGTAGTTATTTATTGATGAATGATCTGTTCGTTTTTTAATAGTTATTTATTTTATTTAGAGAAATAGCAGTGTTTGCCTCCACGATGGCTCCTGGTAGGATCAGCTCGACTCCCAGGTAAACGGACAGACCCCACAATCTCCCCCAATCCGCCCTCAGCCCCCTCCCCTTTATCCTGTTGAAAAGCTACAGGGCATTCTCTAAATGTACAATTTCTCTCCTAGCAGGATCGCCAAAGACGAGCAGTGCAACGTGGCATGTAAAATCGGTACGGTGATTATTTTGCTTTCCTATTTATGGCATGCCGAATTGCCAAGGGACGGTTGATGGAATTGGAGATGGGAAGCGAGCTGAGATTCCGGCCTTGGGGGTGGCTAAACAGATAGGGCTGGGATGGGACACCACTGGGAGATCCCAGAGAAGAAGCCGAAAAACACCCCCAACTGTTCATTTAGATTTTTACTGTATTTTGGTTTAGGTTTTTATTTTAGTTCAGATTTTTATTTCATTTCATTTTAGATTTTTATTTCATCGAATTTCAGACTTTATTTTAGACATTTGTTTTATTTTATATATTTTATTTCAGCTTAGATTTTTATTTCATCGAATTTCAGGCTTTATTTTAGACATTTATTTTATTTCAGATTTTTACTTGATTTTATTTTACTTTGGATTTTTATTTTAGACTTTTGTTCTATTTTAGATACTTATTTTCATTTTAGATACTATTCTAGGTTAGATTTTGTTTTATTTCACTTTAGTTTTTTATTTTAGTTTGGATCTTTGGATTTTTAGTCTCTATTTTATTTTAGATGTTATTTTAGATTTTAATTGCACTGCATTTTGCTTTTATTTTAATTTTATAGAGGAAGTGAGGCTTGCTCTAAGGGCTTGTAAGACAAAATCCATGAAGTTTGCATAATCAAACTGATATTTAATTTTTCTCCCTTTACGCAGGGAAGCCAATTCATTATATAGCTCCTGGAAAATCTGACAAAGGGGTTTTGATTTTTGCTTGATTTTCCTTTTTTTTTTTTTTTTTGGTCTCAGCTGTAGGTGCCTGTGGGTGCATTTTCCTTCTGGCGGGGGCCCTGATTCTCTATTTTAAGAAGAGAAAAATGACTTCTTCTCAGGAAAAGCCAGTCCCTGCTCCGAATATCTACATTAGCAGCCCCCATTTTGGTAAAAAAAATTATTGTCATGTTGCTGTTTATTTGGTACATGTAGGAGATGCTAGACTGGGGTACCCAGTTCCGTAAGCCGGGGGCATTGATTCCTCGCTGTTTTCCAGGCTCTCCGGTCACCTCCCTTCCCGAGACGGTCATGCTGGTGGACAAAGCCCCTCCACCATCCCGCTCGCTGCAACAAGGCCGGAAGCTGTACACCGTGATCAACGCCGTGCCCGTCCGCCGGTGGAAGGAGTTTGTGAGGGGGCTGGGCCTGCAGGACGGTGAAATCGAGCTGGTGGAACTGGAGCACTCTCAGTTCCGCGAGCAGCAGTACGAGATGTTAAAACGCTGGTGTCAGCAGCGGGGGGCCTCGTTGGAGGCCATTTTGGACACCCTGGAGGCCATGCAGTTGGGCGGCTGCGCCCAGGAACTGAGGGAGAAGCTGCAGAGGGAGCATTTGTGGGGCAACCCGTAAGGCTGATGGTGACAGGGACTGTCCTCGTACGGGCAGGTAACGTCTCGGTTGAGTCGGTGTACGAGCGGCAGAATGGGAAGACTCGCACGGCCACAACCATCTCGGTGTAGCCAATGCACTACGGTCTTCGTGCCACGGCCAACGCGCCAATTTGGCACAGCACTCACTGCGGGACAATTCTACGCAGGATAACTCAACACAATAAATGTTACCCGCCACTGTTTCTTCAACATTATAGGCAAAATGGAAATTACATCAAAGAAACAGTGGCGGATAACATTTATCGCGTTGAGTTCTCCTGCGTAGAATTTCTCCTACGGTGAGTTGGCCGTAGTGAGGTGTCCTAGACCCACAAGCGTAGCGTTACGTTGTTGCTGACATATGTTCCAGCCTGGAAATGCTCAAGTCTGAACTCCAATGGACGGTACCCAGTTGCGTGAACCCTCCACCTTGTTCACAGCCCGTTCATCTTGTACACAACCGTCAACCTCGTTCATAACTTGCTAGTTCGTCTTCTGTGCAAAAGATACCCCATGGATCTCCTTGTGGAGGCAAAGCACGAGCACGCAGCGGGCGACTCGTTACGTATATTGGCAGAGCCATCAAAATCATTTTGCCTAACACCAGACAACTCAGTACCTTTTTGACAAAGCCAATAATCCTGTTTTGTCTAACAATAGGACCAGCATTGCTTTTTGGACAGATCGGTCCGATATAACGCTACCCAACTCGAGGTATTACTTGAATTTTATTACGGTGTTTCTGTTTGGAACGCCAGAATGCAAGTAGCCCTCAATTTAAAAACATTCTAATGTGAATCTGTAGTCACTGATCTCCCCGCCACAACCCCAGTGCCTCACATTCAAAAAGCGAACGCGCCTACCTCACAGGGCTGTCGTGACGAGGTTATGAGACTTGCTCGCTCTGGAGGGTTCAGGCACTGCAAAGGGTATAGTAGACATTGTATGTCACTTTTAAATAAAGTTTTAATCCGTCCTTCGGGGGGAACAAGGCAACGATATCCTGGAAAGCAGTTTTTCTTACTGTGACACTAGCGTGCTTCGGTAAGAGCCCCCCACTTCCCTTGCCTAGTTGGGGGGGCACAAATCTTTGTTTTCCCTATTAGCAAAGTTCTTTCCTTTAGGGTCGCCCTGTTTTTTGGGGTGCAATCTTGCCGTGCTCAATCAGTAGTTTGCAAAGCATTTCTTCACTGGCAGTTAAAAGAAAGAAACAGCAGACATTTCATATTACACTGAGAAGCACAAAGCTAAAAGCACAAGCCTGATGATGATGAATGTGATTTCATCGAAACGTCGCTATGATACCTCTAATCTTACACGGGAGAAAACCCGAATGACCAAAGACTCATATATATATAAATATATATATATTAACTCCATGAATTTTGGAGTTCCTCTTCCTGCAGTTAATAATAAAAAAGGACCTTTTAAATATTTGCTGGCCCCACCTGTTAATTGTTTGATGGGCAAGTTCCCAGGATCTGCCTGGATTTTCACAATGAAGAGTTTGCAGGAAGAATGAAAAATTAAGGCAGGCTGTTGAATTCAGCCAAGCCCCTGCTTTGCATGCAAGCAAATCCTGGCTCAAAGGCTGATGTTTCCAGGAAAACCGCTTTGCATACAGGCAGTCCTCGACTTACGACCACAATTGACCCCAAAATTTATGTTGCTAAGTGAGACGGTTCTTAAGTGAATTTTGCCCCATGATCTTCCTTGCCACACTTGTTAAACCAATCACTGCAGTTGTTTAGTCACACGGTTGTCAAGTTAAACTGGGTTCCCCATTGACTTTGCTGGTCAGATGGTCGCAAAAGGGGGTCACGTGACACCCCCCCCCCACCGGGACGCTGCAACCATTATAGGTACATGCCAGTTGCCAAGCCCCTGAATTTTGATCACGTGATCACGAGGATGTTGCAACGGGGATAAGTGGGAAAATTGGTCATGTCACTTTTTTCAGTGCAGTTGTCATTCGAACGGTCACTAAATGGACGGTTGTAAGTCAAGGACAACCTATAATGATCTCTCCAGAATTGGCCAATCGGTATTCAGCAGTGCCAGCTATCGAAAATTCAGGCCCTTTGCAAATTTATTTCTTTTTTTTTCCAGAATTTGCTCCAAGATGGGGAGCAGACCAGATGTTGGTTTAAAATTAAATCCCACCCTTTGCAGTTGGGCGGGGAAAGTCACCTGTATCGGATGGCCTTTGAATGATCCGGAGAGAGAGATCCCGAAAGGATCTGACTTTGGGTTGACGGAAATTTAACCAAACGAGGGATCTCAAGGGAGAGATCCTGGATGGATCTGAGTTTTGGTTGAAGGAAGATAAATTTAGCAAAAATGAATGATTGAGAGAAGGAGATCCTGGAAGGATCTGAATTTGGGTTGGATGAACGGAAATTTAACCAAACGAGTGGTCTAAAGGGAGGGATCCTGGAAGGATCTGGGTTTGGGCTGAACGAATGGATGTTTAGCAAAACCTGTGATCGAGAGGGACATATCCCAACAGGATCTGGGTTTGGGCTGAACGAACGGACTTTTAACAAAATGAGCAAACGAGAGGGACAGATCCCGGAAGGATCTGGCTTTGGGCTGAACGAATGGACCTTAGCAAAACGAGTGATCGAGAAGAACAGATCCCAAAAGGACTTGGGGTGGAACAAATGGACATTTAACAAAATGAGTAATGGAGACGGAGAGATCCTGGGCAGATCTGGATAGCGAGCGCAAAAGATCTGGAGACTGCAAACCAGGAGCCACGAATCTCTGCTTCTCCCGCAGCCCCCGGGCTCTGGGTTCAAAACAGGTGTCCTCAAAAGCGGGTAGAACCGTTAATATTTTGCCACATCTCCTTTCTTGAGGATCAGCTGCCTTTGCCACGGCGTCAGTTTGTTCTCGTCAAAGCCGAGAGTCTTTAGTTTTTCCACTTGTTCCTTCTCCTTCTTCTCCTCCATCCGCCGCAGTTTTTCTTCCTCCCGTCTGTCGGAAAAGAAACGAGAGGCTGGAAAGGCTGGCAACACGCCCAGCGGGCCCCCAACCCCTTGGTTTTATTTTTATTTATAGTTACATATTTATAGGCAGACAGTCCTTGACTTACAACAGCTTGTTTAGTGACCATTCAAAGATACAACAGCATTGAAAAAAAGGGACTTAGGATTGTTTTTCGCCCTTATGACCGTCGCAGCAGTCCCGCAGTCACGTGATCAGAATTCAGACGCTGGGCAACTGGCTCATGTTTACGACGGTCCCGGGGTCCCGTGATCCCCTTTTGTGACCATCTGACCAAGTCAATGGGCAAGCCGGTTTCACTTAACAACCGTGTTACCAAAAGCTGTAGTGATTCATTTAACAACGGTGCCAAGAAAGGCGGTAAAATGGGGACAAAGTTCACTTCGCAAATGTCTCAGCAGAATTTTTGTGTTGTGGTTGTAATTCAAGGACTATCTCTTTCTATATAAATATATCTATAAATATAATACGTAATTAAATTTTTATGGCACTCATCTCCCCTGCAAGGTGACTCTGGCCTCGTATATCTTCTTCCCCTCCTTGGTTATCTGTGACGGTCAGCCACCTTCTCCAAATCAGAGATGTTCTGCAGCCCTTGATCACCCCTTCAGGTGGATCCATGTCCTACCCAGCCCACCGCTGTGCCTGATGGGTCCAGGGACTCAGACAACGTGTGCAGAGAAAGCCGGGGTACAAATGAAAATAATTGAACTGCGCCGCAAGACTCACCGTTTTTGCAACCTGCAAAAGAAAGAAAGAAAGAAAGAAAGAAAGAGAGAGAGAAAGAGAGAAAGAAAGAAAGAAAGCACAACAGACAAGTTAGCCTCAAGAAGTACAAGTGTGTTGCACAGTTTCACACCCTGCAGGACACACTGATAGGTTCAATGCTATCGCAAAATGTGGGATCCACAATCACAGATCTCTCGTTACTCTATCATCAGTTTAGGAAGTAACACCAAACACTGATGATGTTAGTTGGGTCATGAAATGTCTGCAAGAAATCCACCAAGCTCAGAGAGCACCAAGGACCCCACAGTCCTCCTCCTCCTCCTCCTCCTCCTCCTCCTCCTCCTCCTCCTCCTCCCATTCTCTTTCTCCTCCACTCTATAAACCTCTATAAACCCCTTCCAGCCCTGATGATGTAACCTAGCTGGGTCATGAAATGTCTGCCAGAAAATAACCAAGCTGAGAGAGCACCAGAGAGCCCCCAGTTCCACCCCAAGCAATAAATCTTCCCTTCTGTTGATCCTTACCTTTCCTCTTCCGTCTTTTTCCGGAACATATCCCTTCTCCAAGCTGGCATGCCAGCCAGGCGGGCCTCTTCTTCCCTTTCCTGTAAGACACGTCGCAGAAAGGAAGAAGAATCAACACCTGCCAAGTAGGAAGGCGCTGAGGAAAGAGAGAGGGGGGAGAGCTAGAAAGTAAGGCAGGTGTGATCTTGCCGGAAATGTACCTGTACTGGGTTTAGCTGGCAAAGAAGCACGTGGGTTTACGGATGGAAATGGCCTTGGGAGACAGGAGGAAGAGACACAGACTAGACAATAATCAGATAAGAGGCAGCCGAGCAGCCCACAGAAGGAAAAGGGGGCTGGGAAGCATCTTAGATGGGACCGTCCCTAGGAGACACGTACTTGCAGACCGAGGTCAGCCTTGTGAGGTAGTCCAGATAAGAAGCAAACCCAGGACTTACAAGCTCTACTTTACTGTAAGGTTACTTTAGCGGAAGCATATTTTCCGCACACAGCTCGCTTTTTCCCTGAACTACTTCCATTGTTCAGCACCAACAAGGTCTGTTTATTGAAGCATGAGGAACTGGGCTCTAGAACTGGCGGCCCTTTCCTCTTCCCTCCTCATCCGTTTTTCCTTTTGTGCTACGCTTTCCTGATTGTAAACCTGCAATTTACTTTAGATCAAGGGAGAGGAAATGTCAAAAGGAAATATTGAACGCCATTACAGTAGGACGGGAAATTCTCAATATTTGTGGTAGCAATGCTGTGTAAAATCGTGCTGAATTAGCAAATGCCAAACTATTGCACCTAGAGAAATTCAAGAGCTAATTTCCTGCAAGTCTCTAGTCAAACATTTTCATCAATACATCAAAACATATAACCATGTTTTTTTGTGTGTTTCTGTTAAAAGAGGCCACACAAAAGATCCTCCTAGCTGGATAAATATCCAGACTTCTTAAAATCGCCAACGTTGTAAAACACTGTTTTAAAGTAAGTTGGACTTCTTTCAATTAAACAAACAAACAAACTTCAAATGTTGGGTAGCTTTAAAACTTTGTTGGGCAACGATCCAATTCAATGGTAAATTAAATTAAAATTCCCACTGGACATAAAGCTAACAATTTCACCGAGATTCAAGCTTAGACACATGCCATAAGGTATGTTTTTTTTTAATTCATTCACTTTCTATCCTTAAATAAAAAGATCTTTAAAATGTTGAGAAACGGTGCCATTAAAATTCGTTGGTATTGTTTGAGCCTTTTTTGAAAGTCACTGTCATTTAGTTATTCGGATTCTTTTTTATATACAGTGTCTGGCTCTTCAGTTGTTGAATGGAGGCTAGGATAAAGTTTTTTAAAGTCTAAACAAACCCAGAGAGTAGAAAGGAGAACATCCTGATGCATTTTAGTTCCTTTGTCTCTCTCTCTCTCTCTCTCTCTCTCTCTGCAATGACAAAAGATGCCCAATTCTTTACACACAACAGATTTTATTTCTTCAGACAAACCTCAGGGGGGGAAAAAAACAAGCAACTTTCCATCAAAATGAAGCGAGCTCCCCAATCTAATTGAGGTTGTTGCCCCTACTTTTAGCAGTAAGTGATGAGAACAAGAATAAAATAATGAGCACACAAAAAAGGAACCATCACATCTCTGCCAGAATAGATCACACCAACTAGTCACACTCAAGGGCAAAAAGTTGTTCATTTGTCTTTTTGCATTCAAATTGTCCCAAAGTAAATTGTTTTAGGATCCTATCACCCTTCTCTGGGGGGTAGGGGGGAGAACTGATGAATTAATTATGGGAAGTATAATCAGTATTTCTGAAATTAATTATATTTGCAGACCATCAACTCAAAGTCCACTCCATTTGATGCAAAATCGCTTGGCGGACACTACGGTGACAACTGAATGACGTTGCATGTAGCACTTTGTCATGCAAACAACACGGATGAGGCACTGATGTCATTTGGTGTCACAAGGTTTTACTTTCCTACCCTGTGGACGTTTGTCTATATACACTCTTAAGGAGAATAAATTAATTACAATGTCTTGAATCTGCACAACAGGCTAAGCTATGATGGGCCCTCCTTTGTTGGGGACTGAGTGTGTTGCACATCTGGCATAAATGGATTTTTTTAAATAAATAAATAAAAATAAGGCAGATATGGAGCCGGGTCAGCTCCTAAACCCCCTCCCCATCTGGCTGTGCCTTTATCTGCATCAAACTTTCTTGATTCCCCAAATCGTACACCCTATAAATGACTATGTGTCCTTGTACAGTACAACTTCTATTTGTTTTTTTCTTCTTCTCAAAAGTTGGGTAGCAAAGTGGATTAGTTTTTTTTCCCCACTTGCACGAGTTCCGCCTGGATGTGTAGCTGTCGTGGACACTTTGTAAGCAAGGAGCACATCCCAAAGGTGAATAGTGTGTTCAGACAGGGCTGTAACTCTATATATGCCTCGGAACTGTAGCAGTGTCCCTCGTTGACCTCAGAATCAGGGGCAGCAGCTCTTGACGGAACTCAAGTGTGATCCATTCATTTGATCCACCAAGAGTCCCAACTAGGAGCACCTCACCATCTTATCCATGTTATTTGAGAGTGTAATCAACGTCACCTTCTGGATTGGTGAAAGACCGGTTCTAGATTGAAAGATCCGTGTTTGAGAAGCTATCTTCTGCAAAGATCTTCTCCAACCACCCAGGAAGCTGGACCCTCAGATGTCAAACATCTCAGCCTCCTTCTCTTTCCAAAACGAGAAGCTGCGGTCTATATAGCGGCAAATGTCATCGTTGCTAAATTCTCCGAGTTCTGAAATGAGCTGGATTGAGTTCTTCCGACTCTTTAGAGCTGGGACAACAGCTAGCTCGTCTTCAACGGATATGGGCTCTTGGGTGCTACTGGTCAAAGACTGATTGGATTCCTGGTGGGAGAGAATAGGGGGAGAATGTAGGGTTTCGGCCGGGGCATCTACACTGGGTGTGGTCCCGAGGTCCACCACCAGATTGTCTCTGAAGAACCTCTGCTTGAGGTCCTCAAAGCCATCCAGCCAATCCCGCTTTCCGGTCTCCACTTCCTCCATCACCACTTGGTGAAAGTGGCGGATGAGGTCCCAGCTGTGGCTGCCCAGATGGTCAAACATCTCGTAGCAGAGCAGGTGGCGAAACTTGCGCTCCTCGCGGCTCATGTCCATCTCCAGCAGCTGGAAGTAACCCAGCATGAAGAGGTCCAAGGTGAGGCTATCGTAGTCCACCGGTGAGCCATCGACGTGCGGCAAAAAATGTTCGGGCCAGTAGAAAATGTCAATATGGCTCAGGCGGCGTATTTGTCTGGTGGGAACCTGGCTGATGATGCTTCTCCAGTGGGTGAGCAGTTTGCCCACCACTTGACGCTGCTTCATGAAGTACAAGAGCTGGTGGTCCTCGCTGGGTTTTGGCCCTGTGACCGTCAACACAGGCCTGTTGTACGCTTGGTGGTCTTCCTCCAAGTTGGGACCTGAGATTTCCACCCTCCTCCTTGGCTGAACCTGCCTGCCTGAATCGGTGAAGGTCCACCTCTTCCAGTGCTCCAGGAAAAGGTAGACAATCCGCTCCTTTCGCAGGTCGATGTAGTCTTGGATGCAACTCAGCTCCGTCTGCACCGGGAGGCTCCTCGTCGTGTGGTCTGGGCTGAACATGGTTTCTGCGAAAGAGTCTCCTCTGGAGAACGGGCTGGGTCCCTTCTCGTAGAGAAGAGGTGCATGCGACAGCTGAATGGGGGGTTCCAGACCGCCGACAGAGGCCTCCTCGTCTTCTAGGAGACTGAACGGCTGAAGGTCCATGATGTAGTCTTCTTCCAAAATGGGCTCGCGGCCAAGAGTGAACTGGGTTGTTCCCACCGGCAGGGAACGCTTCCTTCTGTACACCCGGTTGGTCGCTTCGCTGATCAGCTGCGCCTGCAGGTGGACCTCATAGTTGGCCTTCAGATTCTTCACCGACACCCCCCACTGCATGATCTCCTTCTCCACCTCCTCCCTGGTGCAGCTGAAGGACTGAGAACGGGCTATGTGGCTTGGGCCATCTTTGAACGCGGGTGCTGCTGAAGGGAGCACCTGGGCCTCCTCGCTCTTCTGCGCCAATGCTTCGGAGGTTACCATTTCCGCCAGACTGGTGGCTTTGCCACCCAGCGTGGCTAGTAGGATGGACATGCTCTTCAAGAGAATGGAGATCTTGTTGCACCAACCAGGGAGATCCTCCGCCCGGCCGTGCATGCACTTGGGGTTGACGGTGAAGTGTTCCTTTGCCAAGGCGGCCGAGACGGGCAACAGCTGCTGCAGTTCCTGTTCCAGCTGTTCCAGTTCGGTCTCGACTTTTTGCACCTTGTGCACGACTTGAAGGTTCTGGATCTGCTTCTCGATACAAAGGATGTCATCTTCGGTCATCAGTTCCCCGAAAGGTCCCAAAATGGCGTTGTGGGCATGGGAGTACCGCCAGCCTTCCTGGGGGTAGCAATTCCCAGACCGTAGCTATGCAAGACAAAAAGAAAACACAACCCAGAGGGCAAGGAGGTCCCTCAGGACGGGCCACTACATCGTCATCCGCGTTCTGCACACCCTTCACCTTATATGTCACTTCGTGGTGTAATGAGAACGGAGTGGTTGGCTAAAAACTCCGTGTAGTAAGACAAGCCCGCCAGGAGAAGGTGGGTGGAAAGCGGGAAGGCCGTATCGGGAGAGAAAGACCGATACTTTTCTGCCCATGCGAGAGGCATGCAAGAGAATTGTGCAAGGACACCACGGCATTAATGGCCCAATGGCAGGTGCCAGGAGAAGCATTCACACGTTACACCATGAAGCGGTCATGTAAGGCATTTAATTCCTGCAGTATCCGGCAGCAAAGGTGTCAAAAGGAGCTTTTTATTGTTTTAGATGCACAGGTCGAATCGGTAATCTGGTGGGAAAGTTTCTTGAATCGTCGGGGTTCCGCAGCGGACATTTTCGCCAAAACAAGCGTTGTGCAGAGAGCTGGTCCCGCACTTGGCCCATATTGCAGGTTAAATGAGCTTCAGAGTTGGTCACACACCAGGTCAATTCACACAGCCATGCAGAGGGCACGCTGGAACACCACATGCGCCGCAAGCAAGCTAGAGACGAGTTAGAAGGAAGGACCCCGCTTCCTCTAAATACTGGCTTGAAAGTCTGCAAAAGATCTTTTGACTATGAATCCCCATTTGCAGTCCCACAGACCTTGCAACATCACAGATTACCAAGGACCCCACAGTCCTCCTCCTCCCCCTTCATTCTGGACACTCCACTCCTTCTACCTCTGATGATGTTACCTAGTTGGGTCACAAAATGTCTGCAAGAAAACCACCAAGTTCTGAGAGCACCAAGGTCTCCACAGTCATCGTCCTCCTCCTTGCCCCCTCCTCCTCCTCCAACCCCACTCCCTTCTAGCACTGATGATGTTATCTAGTTGGGTCATGAAACGTCTGCATCAAAACCACCAAGCTCAGAAAACACCAAGGACCCCACAGTCCTTCTCCTTCTCCCTCTCCTTCTCTCCATACCCCAACTTCCTTCTAGCACTGATGACATTACCTAGTTAGGTCACAAAACATCTGCAAGAAAACAACCAAGCTCAGAGAGCACCAAGGACTCCACAGAAGCAAATTTTGTAGAAAGCGACAACTGTGCACTAGAGGATCTTGACCCCATGTGCTCCTGCTGGACAATCTGCTTGCCTTTTAAGATGAGATCAAGGTTTACGTTTTTTTGGGGGTCCAGACCGAGGTTCCCCTCACACCACACAGAATGAATCAGACGGGAGCTCACGGCACACCACCACGCCATGCTGACTGACCGCCCCGTGTCCGGGCATTTACCTTGCGTCTCTGCTCTTCTTCTTCCTGAACCTTCATCTGCAGCTTGCGCAACATCACCTGCCGTTTCCACTCCGGGATGGGTCTCCCCTGCTCGTCGAGCGTGGGGATCAGACCCTCCAGGTCCGTGTGGCCGGTTGGGGTCCCGAAGAGTGTCATGGAACCATTGATCTCCGGCTTAGGCGAGGCGGAAGCTCTGGATCCGGAGCCTTCCTCGGGAGTAGACGGTGGTGTTGGCGTCCCCGCGGGGGATGAGGAAGTCGTAGGGAAGTCCACCTATTGAAAAAAAAAAGAGAGAGATGAGGGTGGGAGATGTCTCCAAAAGACAGAGCTTTAGTCTTTATCTTTACAAGTCCTTGACTTACAACGACTTGCTTAGTGACTGAAATTAGGATGGACCCACCGAGGGGGAACTTATGGATTCGAAATTCTGATGGTTGCCCCCTTCCTCAACTGCAGTCATAAGTCTCTTTTTTTAGCACTGGTGTAACTTTGAATGGTCACTAAACAATCTGTCGTAAGGCGAGGACTACTCAAGGAAGAAAAATAAAAACAGACCGGATGGAGAGGGACCCGTTTCCCGGGCCTGACTTACGCTGCCTCCAGCTTGGCCACAGCCAGAGAAGATGGTGGTGAGCCCCTTGCTTTGAGGGGTGGGCTTCAGACTCTTCCCAGCCTTGATTTCGGCCAGCAGCTCCAAATTATCGCCCGTTGGGGACATCATGTTAAAAGATTTGGTGCCTGTGGGTGGAAGAAACAGTCACTCTCTTCAAGACCGTTGTAACATCAAACGGTTACTAAACAAACGGTTATAATTTGAGGACTGTCTCTATGTCCCCTTTTACAACATTTTCAGAATCTGCTTTTTCAGCAGCCCCAAAGACGTGTTTTCCTAAAACAATAACCAGGAATTTCAAAGAAAAGGAAGGTCTGAGCTGTCCGGCTGTGGAACAAGGCAAATTTTAAACCTGGGATCTGCATGTATGCAAATCAGAAACCTTGGCCTGCATGGGGGCTGATTCAGGATGGGCAGAGAACGTGGAAAAATCAGCCACAGGGAATGCAAACTTCAAAGGCGATTTCCATTCTGCAAAATAGCACTTTCCCTACACACCAGGAGACGGCGAGTTCTAGTTCTGCCTTAGATATGAAAGCCAGCTGAGTGATTTTGAAAGAAAGAAGAAAGAAAGAAAGATGAAAGAAGGAAGGAAGGAAGGAAGGAAGGAAGGAAGGAAGGAAGGAAGAAAGAAAGAAAGAAAGAAAGAAAGAAAGAAAGAAAGAAAGAAAGAAAGAAAGAAAGAAAGAAAGAAAGAGAAAGAAAGGTGGAAGGAAGGAATGAAGGAAGGAAGAAAGAAAGAAAGAAAGAGAAAGAAAGAGAAAGAAAGAGAGAGATAAAGAAAGGTGGAAGGAAGGAAGGAAGGAAGGAAGGAAGGAAGGAAGGAAGGAAGAAAGAAAGAAAGAAAGAAAGAAAGAAAGAAAGAAAGAAAGAAAGAAAGAAAGAAAGAAAGAAAGAAAGAAAGAAAGAATTTTTCATGTGACATTTTGACCAGGGACCTCAAATACATGGTAATTTTTCTGGTTTGGCCAACAGGCTGGGGTTTTTTTGAAAATGAAACTTATAATTTCCTTCATCATCAATCTCTCTGATTTTTGCATATCAAGACAGCTTGGGCAAAAAAAAAAAAAGAGAGAGAAATAGAAAAAAAAAACCCAGAAAGATGACTCAACCAGTCTAAAAAAAAACCACAGACATTTTCTCATCTCTCCGTTCCTGGAAACCAGCCGAAAAAAACAAAACGACAGAGAAAGCAAACCTATGGCCGGCCCAAATATTAACCTCCAGCACACAAAATCGAGCCTCGTTCTTAGGAGCAGTCTACCTGACTTGCAGAAAGAGGCTGGGCGCTGGGCAGAATTTGACCCAGAGGTGCTGCCGCCATGGTCGTAAGGACTGTATAAGTCACTTTCCCCCCACCCCAATAGCTGTGAGTCGAAAGACGACCTGTATTTTTCATGGCTGAATTTGCACCCAGGACCGCCTCTAAGACAGCGCAACGGGAAGGCAAATATTTGAGTGAGGGTCCGAAGGGAAAAAGACTTACTTCCAGTGGAAGAGGAGGACCTTCGCTGGCCGGTTGAGGGAGGGGTGTGCTCCGCAGGCAGGGGAGGAGGGGGAGGTGGGGAGCAGCCCCCCTCGGGCAGGGGGGGAGGCGGGGGAGGGGCCCCTCCGCTTGGGGTCTTCTCCGCCCCGCTTCCGTTTTGCACTTTCTCGCTGGAGAGAAGTGAAGCCTTGGGGGGGGGTAAGGGGGCAATGAATAGAAAAGATCAAAAAAAGACCCCCCCACCCCACCCCAAGTCCCATCTCAGCCCTGGGCAAAAGCCCCGCCCTTCCCCAAAGCTGGGATTTCAAGCCATCTAATTTTATTTTATTTTTAAATTATATCCCGCTATCAGCCTTGCAAGGTAGTCCTGAGTCGAAGCAGGCTCGGAAGTACTAATTCTAACTTTATGGTGAGAGAATTTGGCAAGTCTGAAAGTCCCTCTCTCTCCCCCTCCCCTCTTTACACCCCGGGAAACTAGGGAGGGTCCCTGCTGAGATGCTTCCCACCCCCCTTTTCCCTCCTGGGGGCTCATGCTTCTTATCTGATTGTTGTCTAGTCTGTGTCTCTTCTTCCTTTTCTCCCAAAGTCGTCCTCACAGGCCATTACAATATTTCTGCCCCCTCCTCTTTACACCCCGGGAAACTAGAGAGGGTCCCTCCTGAGATGCTTCCCACGCCCCCTTTTTCCTCCTGGGGGCTCCTCTGCCTCTTTATCTGACCGTGGTCTAGTCTGTGTCTCTTCCTCCTGTCTCCCAAGGTCCTTCCCGCCCACCCTTAGCCCCATCTTTCCACGCAGCGCTCAAAGTGGGTCCCCGGAAACGGATTCCCGCATTCTCACCTCCTCGCTGTGGGCCATCCTGGACGTTCTCCTGCTCTGCTCCGTGCCTCCTCCGCTCTCCAGACGCTTGTAGTAATCCCCCGTGCTCGGCCGCTTGCTGAATCTTCTGGATCGCCTGCTGGAGTCGGTCCGTTGCAGCTGCTGCTGTTGCTGCTGCTGGCAGGTGAGCTGGAAAGATCAGGGTGTTAAATTGGATCCCGGATGCCGGGAGGGGACCCAACCATGGCCGGTTGCCAAGATATGCATGAAACGACATTGTCTTTTGGACCCATTTTACTGACTGCCATGTAACGAATTATGACCTACCTGGAGGGAACTTAGGACGTGGATTCGAAATTCTGATGGTTGCCCCCTTCCTCAACTGTGGTCATGTGACTGCAATTTGGGCATTTGACCTTTCTTTCTTTCTTTCTTTCTTTCTTTCTTTCTTTCTTTCTTTCTTTCTTTCTTTCTTTCTTCTTTCTTTCTTTCTTTCTTTCTTTCTTTCTTTCTTTCTTTCTTTCTCTCCTTCCTTCCTTCCCCCTTCCTCCCTCCCCCCCTCATTCCCATCTCCCTCCTATTTTTCTTCTTAATAATAATAATAATAATAATTCTGCTGTTGCAGGTTTTCCTACCTGGGCAGCTGAGCTACGTGCCCGTCTGGGTTGCTTTTTTCAGCTGCCTTGAAAGCCGCAAGACATCTGACACCTGTCTATTGCACACCTGAGACAGGTGAGCTGGCGTCTCCGGTTACTGGGACCTTCGAGTCCATTAGCAACGCCCTCCATTCCCCCCCCCCATTGTGACATCACCGGGACGGAAGGACTGATGGCAGCCCCTGGGATGCCTCGCGTGCGCATGTCTCTCTGTCTGTCTGCTTGTCTTCATCAAACCGTGGGGAAAATCCCAAAGGATTTTTTTTTGCAGGACGGGAATTTTGGACACACACACACACACACACACACATACCCTCCCCTATTTGCCCATAAAAAATCTGGGTCCGGAGCCTGGCCGAGTCTGGCTTGCACGCCCAAGCAAAGTCCAGCTTCACAACTCCGGCGCCAGCCACGGAGACAGCCTTGCGTGAGAAAATCAAAATGCAAAGTCCGCGGTGGCCTCTTTAAGCCCGGCGTAAAGTATGAAGCTTGGCAAAGTTGCCAACAGGGCTGGCTGGACAGACAGAGACACAAGGCTGATTTCTTTAAAAACAAAAACAAAAACAAAAACAGGAATTTTCCTAGTTTGACAGAACCACAGGGTGGAAGGGACCTCGGAGGTCATCTAGTCCAACCCCCTGCTCAGGCAGGAGACCCAATATTATCCCGATCAAATGACTGCCCCGGTCTCTTCTCTCGAAAACCTCCAGCGATGGAGCAGCCACAACTTCTGAAGTTCTGATGAGTTGATCTGGGAGTTGGAAAGGGACCTCGGAGGTCATCTAGCCCAACCCCCTGCTCAGGCAGGAGATCCTATATATACCATTCCAGACAAATGACTGTCCGGTCTCTTTGCTTTCATGCAACTCGGTTGGACAACCCCCAACGACATACAAATCATTTTGGAGCAATCTTTCTCAAACATGGCCACTTGAAAAAAACAAGGGGGGGGGGAACTTCAAGTCCCAGAATCCCCCTGGAGCATCTAAGCCCCTCCCAGCTTCCTCGTAAATTTCTTACCTGTTGTTTGAGGGTTTCGCTGTCCACGTGCCGAAGGTTATTTTTGGCTTGTACGTAAATCTCGGCGGTGGGAGGCATTTCGGGGGGGTTCGGTGCCGGGTAGCCAGGGGGTGGAGGGAGACTCTTGGGGTGGGAGGGGGGAGAAGGCGCCGGGAAATTTGGAGGTGGGGGTAGAGAGGTTTGGCCCCCCGTCTTTGCGGGACCCGGGGCCAGCTCTGGATTTAGCATGTCCATATAGGTCTGCATATCGGTGAGTGCCGTTTCGGGGACCCCTAAAGCGAAAAAATTAAAAAAGAGAGAGAAAAAAGATTTGATTGATATCCAACTGATAGAGCAGCTTGCAAATGAACTCTACCGGTTGGATGACAGGCTTTTGTTTCGAAGGGTGAAGGGCTGTTCTGGCCAGTCTCAAAAGCCCCGTCTGCTTCTTTTGGGGAAACCCCACCAGGTTTTGTAAAAACTTGCCTTTTGTTTTTTCAAATCTCATTTCTAAAAGGCACTCTGCACATGTTCATGAGAGCTCAGTTTGAGAAGAAGCGCAACTTATTTGCCTGACTTCACAGGATGAGGCCCGTTGCTTTTCGGTTGAATGAATGTTGCTTTAAGAGTCGCTGGGCCATGACTCATAAAACCAGGCCAATTTTTTCCCAATCAGGAACTTATAGCTGCACTACAACACCCCTCATTCCCAGCCTGCACTGGGAGAGCACCAGGGGTCAGGGAACCTTCATGTATACCGAGAATGGACTGTCAGTAATGCAGACTGGTCCTAAAAAGTGGAGTTTGCTCTTCCTGCTTGTAAATTTTGCAAGATACTTTGCAAAAACGATTGGAAAGGGCACCACCCAGTGATTTATGTCACGATGAATCATCAGGGTATGCTCTGCAAGCGACATCGGTTGTGTCAGCAATCAGATCTTGATGGCTGAGCAAATGAAGCCCCCCCCCCCCCCGATGGTTGCTTACGTGGCCCTGTGTAATTCCTCTTCTCTCCTGTGCTGGACTGACTTGAGTGCGAGGAATCGTAGTTGGAGAAGATGCTGCTCGGGGACCCCATGTCGAAGTGGGTCTGGGGGGCCGAGACGGTGGTGTGGGGTGAGGAGAGGCCGGAATCCGGCTGTTTGAGTTCCATGTCGGCTGAGGGGTCTCGGGACAGCACCCGGTGCTCCACGCTCTGCGGGAAACAAAGCGTTAAGGGACCCATCAGGAAGCAGGATGTGGCTTCACTCGAACCCAGAACCCCCCAAGGAAATGATTTTTAACTCCACCTGGGCTTTCCACCCCAAAATTATTGGGATAGGCAGACCTGCCTTCGGTTGGAGAAATCAGGATTTTCCTTCAAAGAATCTTTTCCAATAAATTTTTCCTGCTCAGGCTGGAGACCTAGAGCATTTCAATCAATCAATCAATCAATCAATCAATCAATCAATCAATCAATCAATCAATCAGAATAGAGCTGGAAGGGACCCTGGAGGTCTTCTAGTCCAACGCCCTGTTCAAGCAGCAGATCCTAAACCATTTCAATCAATCAATCCATGAATCAATCAATCAGAATGAGAGTTGGAAGGGACCTTGGAGGTCTTCTAGTCCAACCCTAGACCATTCCAGACAATTGGCTGTCCAGTCTCTTCTTGAAGACCTCCAACTTCTAGAGGGAAGCCAGATTCACTTCCGGGTTTAAAGCACAGAGGGGAGACGGGTGCCTGTGAAATTGCCACCTCAGTCCCCCGGCTGTAGCTTCAGATGGCTCCCCCTTAAAAGTGCACCCCCTTCCCCACCCACCCACCTATCCAGGGACCCCTCTTACGTTGCCCATGATGCTGGGGGTGGGGAGAAAGGGGGGGTTCTCTCCTTCCGTCGCAGCCAAAGCTCAAACCAGCATCCAGCGTAAAATAACAGGCTTCTTTTGCTCTCTGGGGGCTGCGCGACATCACAGCCGCCCTGTCAGGATTTACACCCGGTGCCCTGGGTAACCGGCAGCTGGTGAATTCCCCCTGGCATTGGGGAGCTTTTGAAAAAGCCAACTTTTTTTTTCTCCCCACTCTGAACAAACAGGCTGGAAATAGGTGAAAAATGGGAGGATTCGTATTGCCAGCCGCCCTGGGAATTGGCCAGAGAAAACCAAATTAACCCCGTGCAGAAAATAATCTCAAAAGTGGGTTTTTTTTCCCCTTTCTTTTTCTTTTTCTTTTAAAAGGACAGTATGAGGGAGAAAAGGAAGACGTTTCGTATCTTATCCAAGGAGCTTCATCAGTTCTACAGGTGAGACAGTTTAGGAACGATGTTGTAACTCTGAACAGTCACTAAACAAAGTCATAAGTCAAGGACTGCCTGTGTTTAGGGGTTGCACAGAAATAAGCAACGGGGTGATGGACGTGGCACGTACCACGAGGTCATTGTACATGACCGGTGCATCGGTGGCCTCCGCCCAGCTTCTGTGGAAGACCGGTGGTTTTTTTAAATTGTGGCGATAATTATTTTTCTGGAGTTTAAGGCGAGAGGAGAGGAGGAAAAAGCCGAAACGAAAGCAAGGAAAAATAATAATAACAGCAGAAACGGAAAATAAATGGGAATAAAAAAATAAAATGAAATAACCAAAAGGTGAAAAAATAGAAATGAAATAAAATGGGCATGAGAAAAAGGAGGGAATGGAAAAGAATAGCAAAAAGAGGGCGGGGGGATGGACCAGTAGGGTAATAAGAGGAGAAAGTAAGTAAACGATGGAGACAAGAAAGAAGGTTTAAAAAAAAAAAAAAAAAAAAAAAAAAAAAAAAAAAAAAAAAAAAAAAAAAAAAAAAAAAAAAAAAAAAAAAAAAAAAAAAAAAAAAAAAAAAAAAAAAAAAAAAAAAAAAAAAAAAAAAAAAAAAA